TCCGCCTCTCTCTCGCCCTCTCCGCTCCTCTCTCTGTCCGGCCGGACGGAGGGAGGGAGGACGCTGTTGCCATGCGGGCGGCCCGAGGCCGGCCGGCCGGCGGAGGCGGATCGATGGCGCTGGACCGGTGCCAAGACCGCCGCTCCGAACAGCTGACGCGCTGCCAGCTCGCGTCGCGGCCGCACGAGAACGACCGCCCGTGCCGCGATGATGACTGTTCGTGTCATTTTGCTTGCATTACGGTGGGAATGTTTAGGAGAATGCGGGACTTGCTGGTGGGTTGAAGCGGTCTTCTCTGGTCCGACGGGGCTGACGTCTTTGTTCGGTCTCGATCGGTGGTCGTTGGCGGCGACTCCGGGGCGGCATCGTTTCCTCCTTTGTTTGGCGGCCCGCCGCCGACGCCGACGACGACGACGACGACGACGACGACGACGACGACGCTGTGGTGCTGGTGCTGAGGCTGGTGCTGGTTCTGGAGCTGATAACAGTCATCAGCACCAGGTCATGATGTCACGACTCCGCCCCACTCCACCGTGGGCCTGCCGTGATATCACGACCCCATACCATGTCACGAAAGGGAGACTCACGGTGGCGTGGGGGGGGGGACTGGAGGGGACCTGGCCTCCCCATGCGAGTGTGATTCACTCGCTGGATAATAGCTGCTGTGTGCTGTTTGTCGTGTTTGTCATGGGAGCATTCACTAGCCGTGTTTGTAATGATGAGAGAATTGAGATGGATGGCTGCTGATTCAGGGGGCTGGCTGGTTATTATGCTGTCACACTTATTTTGTTTTCCGCCTTTTTGCTGAATCAGCCCACATTTGTTAACTTTGTTATTTGCCTGTAATACCTGAGGTATATTTATTTCATCAACATGTCGCTATTTCATTGTTTTTTCATTCATTCTTTGAATTCCACCAGGATACGCATGATGCTTTCTGATATAGTCGAATAGAATGTCAAGCCGTATTGTTTCAATGAAGACTGTGTTAGATCCGTCCATCGATCTGGCGCTATATTTAGAAGGGCTGATTCGCGAACGCTCTGCTGGTTAAATCTCGGGCCCGTTGTGTCGGCTGGACTTCAGTGGTGTTTTTTTTCCTTTGGTGGGCGTCTAAAGTCAGACAGACTGCACCACAAATAACGGGCGTCGGGTAGTTAAGGTTCGGCCGATCAGATTTCTGTCATCACTTCGCCATAGCGAATATCATTCCTTTACCTGTACAACTAACGCTATAGGCGCTAAAAAGACATGTATTGTTTTCCTACGGGTAATTAACCCGGCAGTTGCTGGGGTATTTCGCCACCCACCGTTTGCTGGGGGGGGGGGGCGTTAAACGCCCCCAGCCGATAACTCGAGAACCAATAGGCGCAGCGAAACGCACGAGGCGGCAAACGAAAGAACGCGACGAGACGCTTCAACTGAGTACTTTAAAGTTGAATTTTGAGGTCACAGGTCGGGTCAAGGTCAGGTCAAACACCTGAAATCGGGCTTTCAGTAGCATTGACTTCAGGACTTCGCAATGGGCGCCTCTCGTCATAAACTCTGTCAAAACGGTGCACAATCCATCATATAAGGCCTACAAGTGTGTCAGCTCCATGTAGGGGTCAGTCAAGCATAGGTCAGGGTCAAGGTCAGGTCAACCGGGTAGGCACATATCCCCAAAAATCAAAACTGATATTCGCAGCCTGTGACACATGTTTTATGGGTAATTTGGGGCGTAGAACACGATGGTGACATTCATTTTATCATATGTGTACGTGTTTGGCTCAAAAAGTTCAATTTAAGAAATTCATGTATCATGGTCGTGAAGTAGTCACGAGAAATTGCCAAGATTCAGTTCAAGATTTTGGGAAATGCGAAACGATAATTAATAATCGAAGATAGCCATTCTATTGTTCATGGTATTGGCAGTCTATTGGCGTTTACGGCATGTCTTTATGTCTATTCTGTGATTTTATATGATTTTTTGAAAATATGCCGTTTTTGGTCGAAAACTCAGAAATCATGACGTCACTAAAACCTCGATATCTCAAAAATTTCCCGACCGATTTTTTTGAAACGTTGTCACAATAAACTTCAATCAATTCCCTACAGGTACCCAAAATTTGGCGCGCCTGCGGCGCGCCGTTTTTATGCTATGGCCCGGCGAAAAAAGTGGGGGCGTTTAACGCCCCCCCCCCCCCCCCAGCAACTCGCGGGTTAATGCCGTACAGAAGGACTTGTCTTAGCCGTGTCCCCTGTTATAAATCTGAGGACGGACGGAGGACTGGCTCGTCTGAGGAATGCGATAATCGTCCCGTATTCATCAGAGGGCGTCGGCTGTCGGTCGGACCTGGTCGGACCGGGTCGGACCGGCCCCCATAGTGGGCGCCGGGCGCATCCATCGCGGAGGGCCAGCGCCGGCATACAGCCTGCCGTGGCTATCCTGGTCTGTGCCTCGCAGCTGTGCTGGTGTGCGCTGAGATATCCTGAGGAGCCAGGCGCGGTCCTGCTAGGGTCCTCTCAGCCGCTATGTGATTCTTTAGTCACGGCTCGCTAGGCCGGTGGGTGGATTCGGCAACCCAAAGCTGCAGTCGACAATCATGAACGCCCAAAACCACATCATTTTGCGGAGTGTTTGAACCCGCCCGACGAAAACAGCACGGTCATTAAGTACGGCGTTTTTGGTGGTCAGCTCGTTTCCGCTTATCATAACTTGTTGCAAGATTAGCTGATTTTTCAGCGGGGCTGACGTCAGGCGGTGATTGGGGGCTGTGTGAGCTCAGCGGGAGCGGTGGTGATGGTGATGGCAGCAGTGGTGATGGCAGTGGCAGTGGTGACGGGTGCGGGGACAGTTGCAGTGGTGACGGAGATGGTGCTATCGGAGGCAGCAATGGTGGTGGTGTGGTGGTAAGTGTGGGGATTGTGGGAGACTGACGGGAGGGGGTATCATCTCTCAGGACACATGACTTGGGTTTGCTGGTCTCTGTATGTTCTGCTGTACACGAACTCTCCTCAGAGGTGACGGGCTGTCTGTTATTTGGTGCAGTAGTTCCACCGCCGGCCGAGCTGTGGGAGCTTCAGTCTCCAGCTGGTAAGCACCATGGGAGGACTCACCAGGCACCCCCTACCACCCTCCCCCCCCCCGGCTGTTTCTGTGCCGATGGCCGTGTCAGGGTCACCACTGACCCGCCGCAGTCACCAGTCACCAGCACCAGCACCAGTGCACCAGCCGGCGCGGGGCCGGCGGCGCTGCAGATCGGGGCGGCTTATACAGCGGCTGGCCGCGCCGCCGGCTGCATACACAGCCTGATGGCCCTACATGGACACCGGGATGCATATCGCGCCCAGCCGAGACGGCACCGGCCGGGACGGTGTATTTCTGGGCCTGTCTCATCGCATGCGGGGTGTGTCGCGCGAGAGCCGAATTTCCATACATGCATGCTCTGAGGAGCACAACATCCGCGATATTTTTAAACCTTGGCCTTTGCATCTGGATTGATCCTGAAGTGTGTTCAGAAGCTTATTTTGAAAGGACCGAGAGACGACGGTTCACGGTCTACAGCGATTGAAGCTTGCGGTGTGACTTGCCTACGAATCCGCCACCATAAAAATAAATATGTTTATACAACTACATAGCAATGTTTATCGCATGTCAAAGTACATAGTTTAAGAAAAAGTTAAATTGACTTTCTGGCTTTGATTCACAGAGTTCCCGGTTCGTTTTATGACGATGTGTTTTTGAACAGTCTATCCCATTTCTCTGGAAGCGTGACATTTCGCCCACCAGAATCGTTTAAGGACTTTGGCCATATTGAAGGAACTTGTCGGACCAAAAGGGAAAGTTCATCGGCGCTTGCGACGTTGCTGGGTGGAGACAACATCGCTGCCGACAGTGATGGAGCCGCAAATTAAAGTCGTGATCCTTCAGCGACAAAACTTGTTTCGCCGAAACCGCCGCCGGCGCGACGGTGCCGATGGCGGCTTTCCAGTGTGGGAGCTCATTTCTGCCGACCGGCTGGCTCTGGCAGCTCGGATGCACGGCTCCATTGTGGGATATGGATCGGCGCGGAGCTCTCGTGAACCGACCAACACACCAGGTATATCGGATCGGGCCGTGCGCCAGGCGGTGGTTGGTGTTTTCGGTCAAATGATATTCACCACCTACGCTCCTATGCCTGTCAATAGAGCTAGGCATAGGCCAGACTATGTGTAGTCATACACTGGTGTGTCTACCTTTTCTACCACATATCGCATTCCAGGGGCTGGCTGGGTGAAAGCCCTTCCTAGGGAGGGGGTGGGTAGACTTACAGAGGGTGGCTTCATAGCCTAAGAGCACTCGACATTCGGTGCTAGCGGCCGGCTTGTCGGTCAAGTATTGAGAGCTCGCCGTCAGTGTCTTTCATTGTTGAAATGATAAGCGCTGGTGAATCGAAGATACGGGGTGTGAATTTTCATCCCGTGGGGTCTCTTCAATGATTTACTAGTAGGTACGATGTTACTTTGTGACTCAAAAAGAAAGAAAAGCGAATAAGTTAGCACTTGATGCTTGAAATTCTTATTGACGGGGCCGTGCTTTTCAGAGCTCCTTACATCTTGCGAAGTTTGCAAACTTTGCTGTAAGAATTTCATGTTCAGTCATTTGTTGTCATGTTGTCTAGGCAGCTTGCAGTGGTCCGTACGTGTTTCAGGTGTTTTGGAGCTAAATAACACACCACCAGCTGGCCTAACCCGCGACTTTCCTCCAGCTCAGCTCTATTGTTACGTTTCCACCAACTCAAAAGCTTCGTGAGGCGTGCTCTATTTTTGATGTCGCGCGGACTGTCGGTCTTAGCGACCCTATCGAGGCCTGCGGCATTCCCATCCGTGTCAGCCTTTGTTGTCGGGCGGCCGGCCGGCCGACGGGACGGCTGCCTACAAAGCTAGTTCGGCGCTCGGCCGCCAGGGCGGCGCTGCCGGCGGATGCGCGAGCGGTGTCCGCCGCGGCGGCCCTGAGCTGGCCGGCCGACCGGCTCGGGGGCCCACTCGGCAACAGTGGTTCGAGCCGGTCGGGCAGTGTGCGATGTGGTGGCCGCGCCGGCAGCGCGCCCCGTACCCGACGCGCTGCTAGAAGATGCCAAAGGGCGCCGATGTCACGAGTGAAAATATGAAATGTGCTAGCGGGTGTGAGAAGCCATCGAAGAAGGATCGCCTGAGCCCGGCGATGCTGGCTGCGCGCGTCAACAAGGATAACTACATGCTGTGCGGCACGGCTCGCGGTGCCAGTGACAATGCCAGTAGCAGCGCCGGCGACGCCAGTGACAACTGTGACCTGGTCTCTCCGACAGAGTGCAGCGGCTCGTACCACGGCCCGTGCGCGCGCTGCAGCCCGCTGTACCCGTGTCAGCGGAACGGGGCCGCTGAGTCGCCGGCCACCCGCACCTTCACCGAACAGGTGGTGAGTACCGCTGACCTGACCCGACCTGACCCGACCTGACCTGAGGTCACCCGGCGCCCGGTACCGGCCTGTTTTAGCCCGGCCGCTACACGTCGGCTCCGGGCGACGCCAGTTTGTTCACCCCTCCTTTCACTTCAGACTCGAGCGGTCGCCGCTCTCGGCACCGCCCTCCGGTCGCTCTGCCCGCCCAGAACACTCTTGTGCTCTTCCCTGGGTCCTGAAAAAGTGCCGCTCCATCAGCCTTGAGCCTGCTCCTCAGCGAACTATTAGCTTTGTTCTAACTCGTAGATGTCCTCTGTAGAGAAGCCTGGCTGTGGGGCTCCTCAGTGTTACTGACTGTTCCTCCATCCAACGGAACGTTTCGTTCTTATATGTTCTCCAACATCAAAAGCCTTCTGATGACCTCGGTCCTAGTTTTCTCCTTACTCTGACTGTGTCCCTCGCCCTTATCCCGCGGTCTTGGTGTTTTTTAACCTTAGGCCTCCCCGCCTCCACGGAGCCCTTCTCATCCTCTGCCGCAGATACAGCGCTCCTGCTGCCACTGCTGGGACCTCGCTGCTGGAGTCGCTCCTGCTCCTGACCTGGAACCGGCATATCCTGGGAGGACGTGGTGCCGACCATCCTGCTCCTGCCACTACTCTAGCCTCGTTCCTGGCTGGGGTTCTTTATCAACCCCGGTACGCCAGACTCCGACAGATACCGTCGTTCCTAGCCGATACCCCGAGCCTGAGTAAAAAGTAGGTGAGTGGTACCATTCCCGTGTACTTATTGCTTGTTGAGCTTCGTTTGAAGTGTTTTGATAGGTAGAAATGGATACTTGTATTTTTGATGTTACGCTGCTACGTTGCTGCTACTGCTAGTTATGTGTCGTTGACCATATTGCAGTAAGAATGTGTTAATTCGGGTAGCATTTTGCATTTGGTATGTTTCCCATGCCCCTGTGACCTTTCATAACCTCATATTTTTGTGAGGTCGCTGGCTCGCTTTGTTAACATTGCCGATAGAATGTTCGGACCAAGCGGTCTACGACTTGTGAGTCTTGTAGGCTGTAACAATCTAGAATTTAGCACCCGGTGGCAATTTCCTGGGCGGCGAGGGCGATTCCTGACCCGTCTGTGCCCAGAGTCATGTTGGCGAGCCGGCTGGCACTTCAATTTTGGCCGCTGGGCCGCGCGGTACGGCGCCGCGGCTCCATTTTTGTGCTGTCCGGCCGGGCCCGGCCGGCCGGCGGCAGCCCCGTCCGACCGGCCGGGAAGGCTCCAGTCGCAGGTGCTGCCCCGGCAGCCGGCTCCAGTCGCGTTTCCTTTCCAGGGAGGACTCGGCGACTGGCGGCTCGGGAAAGGTCGGCGGGCGCGCGGCTGGTGAGCTAGCTCAGAGGCCCGGCGAGCTCGGAAAGCTCGGGTCAGGGCCGGCAGCCGCGGGCTGCCTGCGCTGTCAGGGCCGGTCGGGCGTTCCTGGAACTCCCGGAGAGCTGATTTTGTCGTCACCTGTGAACATCGTCTACTTCGTGACGATGGGATCGCGGCTGGCTTTTCGTACTGTCGGAAAACAAGGTAGCTGACGGCGGTACCGGGCCCGACATGAATGTTCTTTGTCTAGAAATACCGGTGCAACATTTGGCGGCGGTGAGTTATTTCGTGGCTAAACTGGGTTTGTTAATTGCCTGCCTGCTGACGCGGTGGGTATTGACTACCCTGCAATCGTCGTTGCTGGCGGACATGTATGGCCGCTGTAGGGGCGCGGGTCCAGTGTCCGCCGCCGGCCGCTCCCAGGCCCTGACGTCAGAGAGAGCCGTGTTGGCCGGTCTGGAACGAGCTCCGGCCACAGCGCCTTGTATCGACTGGCGGACACGAAGGACGCCGGCCCGAAATATGGCCGACTGCACAGCGGTGACGGCTGACGACATGCTGTGACGCACGGTCCTGCCTGCTCCGTGCCGTCACTGGGCAGCCAGCCTCGCGTGGAGTCGACTGCTTTGAATGTCCCCGCTGCCTGGAATCGGTTAGGTTGTATACCACACCAGACGCCTGGTTGCCAGAGGCGGTATCGTCTGATGTTCTGTCCTGGTCAGCTCGCCGTCTTTGGACCAAATGCCGCCTTCTCTCACCTCCCTGTGCCCTGGGTGTGGCTTCTGTCCCGCTGGACTCGCTGACTGGACCAAAACCTATCTCCCCACCTCCGGATGTGAGCTGTGTCCCTGACACCACACTGTCAGGAGACCCTCACGTGATCGTAGTGGGTGCTGATCGAGCCTTTTCTCTGCCGTATTCCTCACTGTAGATTGTGGAATACAGTCGTCCGCGCTCCCCTTGTGCCAGCAATGAGTAATTTTAGAGTTTTCTTGCGGAATAGTCATTATGTCGCAACGTAAATGTCTGCATTACGTGGCTTGTTTGTTCAACTGCGGCTGTTCCCAGCTCACCCCTGTTGCAGGCCAATTTTGACGGCGCCACCTATCGTAAATTATGTAGCATAGCGTGCCGAGTGCTATGCCAAGTGCCACACCTACTGTGTTTGCTGGGGCTTTTCGTGTTGAGTTGGCGGTGTTTCGGCGGCCTGTACCCTCCGCCCGACTGATCCCGGTCTTCAGAGCCGTGCTGGACGAACCGACTCGTCTCGGCTTTTCCATTCTGCTGAGCTGCACCTCTGATCCTTCCGCGGTGCCGTCGCGCTTCCATATTCGTTCCTTGGCCGATGGCTGGGTGGAAAATTTTGATATGTCCTGCATTGGATTAACATGTAAGAAGCCTTCATCCTATTCAGCCGCTTCAGTCTTCCATTTGTTAAAATCGTTACAACGGTCAAGACAGTCTGATTCAGCCTTTGTAGAGATGCTTTGCCACTGGTGCGTGGCTTCATTGCGTGTCTCTTGAGTCGCTATCATGAACCTTGGCGTTCATCAAATAGCCACCGCCGGTCGGCCGGCTTGTCGGTCGTTCTGCTGACCGGTCGCTCACTCGCTCGTTTGGACAGGGGAGTGCGTTACGTAACACGATCCTCATTTCCCAGATTCCGGGCCAGGTCGTCGCCCATTTTACAGCAGTCGGCTGTCACCTGCGGCCCGGTCCCGGGCCGAGTCCTGTCCCTGTTCCGCTCCGGTAGCGGTGTGCACGGTGACACGGTGCACGCGGGGGACGGTGTCCGTTACCGAGGGCGCGATCTACGCCGGTCGCTGGAGCGCACAGACCCGACCCGGCCCGGGGCGAGCGGGGTGTCCGGTGGCGGCCTGGCCCACGTGCCGCGCTGCAGTTCAGGGGTCCCGAGAGGCGCCTGATGTCTGCGGCTCCGTGAGCGATGACTGCTGTTGCTGGCCGACGCTGGCGTTACTGGAGTGATGGAGCGGCGGTCAGCCCCGTGGCGCCGCGACCTTCCACCGGCGGCTGGCGGAGCTCTGACCCAGTATGTCGGCGGACAGCCCGCCCCGAGCCGAGCCGGTTGGCCAGCCACGTGGTCGGGCGAGGGGCCCCAAAAGGGTGGCGGCCCGACTGCGCCGCAGCCGCAGCCGCCAGGGCCGCGCGCCGCCCCGCTGGCCGGGCGAGGTGAGAGCCCGCTCGGCCCGGCGCCGACCGGCCGGCCCCGGGCCAAGGTAGGTCGCTGACCTGCCGAGCCAGGCCGCTGTCCGGTCGAGGTCGGGATGATGACCTGCCGAGGTCAGCGCAAACTGCCGCTGCCGCCCGCCGACCGTCACAGCTCGGCCATTCGTTCGATTCGGTGAAGCGGGGTGACATTTCCGACTGGGCGCGGCAGCCTGGCAACACGACCGGGCCGCGGCCGCCGGCGGCGCCGCACGGTCCGCCGGCCGTTTCTCCTCTCCCTCCTCTGCAGTTTCTCCGCGGCCGAGCGGCTCCGGCCGGCGCTGCGCGCGCCCCCTACGGGCCGTTGCTAGGCGGTCGGCACTGCGCCGCGGCCGGCCGGCCGGCCCGCTCGGCCCATTATGGTCACGAACCGAGCCGTGGCGGCACGAGCGGGACTCGCGATGGGCGGCTGCCCGAGGCCGCAATGGGGTCGGAGGGTGTCGCCGGCGCAGGGGCGGCCGTGCGTCCTTTGTTGTGAGAGCGATGGTAGAGTGGGCGGTGCGCCAGGCTCGGCCGACGGAGCCGCCTCTGCGCCGCTCCGTCGGCTCCGGCGAGGCTCGGCGCTGGTCCGCTCACGCCCCCGGACCGCGACGGCTGACCTGGCGCTGGAAATAGCGGCGCCTGTGTGCTGTCGGCGCTGAATGAGGTGCCATTGAGGCTGAGACCGCGCCGCCGCCGCCGCAGCCGCTCCGCCTCCCATGTCGGTACCGACGCCGTGCTATTTATACGGGGTCGATCATTTCTGGTTATATGGCTGTGGCAGGCTGCGGCGCTCGGCTAGCTGCTGAGGCGTGACCTGGTTCTCAGCGCGCCCGAGGCGGTGGCCCCGTCGGGCAGGACGGCCGCCACCCGTCACACGGTATTGCAAAAATCCTTGCAGCACAGTCATTATCGAATGACTGTGCCTATCGCCTGAGTAGGTGATGCTCCTAAACCCTAGCCCATCTCCCGACAGTCTGCCTTCAGTGCAGCGGCCGGTGACCCGTGCTTGACCTCGAAGTGTGCCATGCGGCCGGCCAGTCCCACAGACCGGCTCTCAGGTTCATTTCAGATGCGGCGCCGCTCAGGTCGGGCCGGGTCTTGTCGAGCTCGACGGGCCGGCGCCCGAAATATTCGGAGCCTGTCGCGGCGCCGGGCGCGCACGGCCTGTGAGAGATGAGCGATGATAGGACGCGCTCCGGCCGGCCGCACCGGGCCAGGAACCTTTCTTTGTTGGTCGGCGCAGGCGCTCCCAGGCCCGGCCGGCGAGGAGCAGCAGCTCAGCGCCGAGTGCGGCCGCTGTTCCGGCCGTCGCACGAGCCGCACGCTCCGCACGCTCGTGCAGGCCGAGTCGACGGCTTGGCCAATTTCGGATGGCGGTGCGGTGGTGGACCGGCCGGTCAGTTTTTCCCTGGTGCACGCGGCGCCGGCGGCCGCCCGCCGCCGGCCGGCCGGTCGCCGCTGCAGCGGATCGTTACGTCACGCAGCGGCCTCCGATTGGCTGTTGCCAGGCGAGTTGGACTCGCCCGGGCGGGGGAGGTCGCTCGTGGCCCAGAAATGGCCGCCCGGTCGGCCGGCCGGCCGGCTGGCGCTCATCTGGTGGCCGGATGGCCTTCGGAGCCGTGCTGCGGGCCGCACCGAACCGAGCCGAGCCGAACCGAACCGGCGCTCCGGGGCGGCGGCACCGGAGCGGAGGCGGCGCGGCGGGTCGGGTCGGATCGGTGCCGGTGCCGGTGCCTGTTGCCGTGGCCGGTCGGACCGGACCCCACTGCGCGCAGTGCGCCGCGCCAGCTCACGCCGTTGTTCGGTGCCGAATAAATGCTGAGCCATCGGCTTTGAAAGTGCCGTAAGGCGGCTGCAGCGGCCGTGCGCCCTTGGCAACTGCATAATGAGCTAGCTGGTGCAGCAGGATGGAGGACGGCCTGCTGCACCCCCGCCTGCTGGATCCGGGTGTGCCGCCCGGCCCTGAGCTGACCGGTGCACCTTCTGTACGCGCGCGGCGCTCGGACGGTCGGTGGTATATTCTGTCAGCTCCCAGCGCTGCACTGTCGGCCGGCGGCCCGAACCGAGCGTGTGTGCCGCCGGTCACAGCGGCGTGCCATTTCCCTTTGTCAGTGTGCCGGCGGCCTGTCACTGGCCGCGCGCGCTCCATCCGCCGCTCCCTGCTCTCTCCACTCTCCCTGGGAGGGTGGGACCGGTCAGCGACCGCCATAGGAACGGCCATCGAGCGCCCCACCACCTCCCCGTGCTGTCTGTGAATGTTTCATTATCATCGTGTCGTTACCATTGGCTAATGATCGTTTCTCCCCCTCTGTTTCAGCCAATACACAAGTGGACGGCCAACAATGTGCTTGAATGGGTGGGGTCAATCAACATGATATCTACTGCTGAATGCTTGAAGTCTATGAACGTTGATGGTATGCAACTTCTCAATCTGGACAAGGAGAAATTGATGGTAAGTCGGCTGGGAATGGGCTGATGGACGGGGACGGGCGGGGGGCGTCCCGCGCGCACCGTGGGGAGCACCGGCGGGAGGGGACACCCAGCTGGGCACTCAGCGGAGGGGAGAGGGGAGGAGTGCACGTGCCGTGCCGCCTTGGACGCCCCACATTCCGGGAATGGGCCGGGCAGTTCTGCGAACGGAAGAGCGGAGAGGAGAGGGAGAGAGCGCGCGCCTGGCCGAATACCTCGGTGAGCGACGGATGGAATTCAGGTGACCTTGCGGGGTTTCAACACCGCGCGGCCGGCCGCCTCCCCTGCGCTCGGCGGAATGCTGCCTGCTCGCGTGACGGGCCGGCCACTCCCCGGCCTGGGAGGAACCGGAGCGGACGCCCGTCTGGCCGTCTGGCCGCCGCCGCGAGAGGCAGGGAATCCCGCTCTCATGAGCTTTAATCCGTCTGCACGTGTCGGATGGCCGCGCGCCGGGCGGAAGGTCTGTCTGTCTGCTCCGGCGGCGACCCGGCGGAGAGCTGGTGCGCCGCGCGCCGGTCAGCCGGCGGCCGAGACTTCCTGGTGGCTGTGGCGGCGGCGGCGGTCAGCTGACCGGCCTGGAACCGCCGGTCGGCCGGCGGTCGCGCAGGCTGGCCGCTGATGGTATCGCTCGCGGCTGGGACGCCGGCCAGCACTGACTCGTCGGCCGATCCGCCGCGGCCGGCCTGTCAGCAGAGCAGGGTGGGAGATGGTATCGGAACAGCGGAGAAACTCGCTCGCTGTCGCACCGCTGTCCGTCACCCGCGTGAGGCCCTCTCCGGGTGATGAGCCGGCCCGGCCCGCCCGAGTCGGCGCGGTGGTGCCTTCTTTGGCCTCTGGTCGGCGGTCGGCCGCAGGTGGCGCCAGCGCCGCCGCTGCCGCCGCCGCCTGGTCGGCGTCCCCGCCTGGTCGGCCCGGAAGCCAGCCGTCCGGGCGGCCTCGGCCCAGCGAGCCAGCAGAGGCGGTCGGCCGTCGGCCGCGCGGCGAATTTAGCCCCAAACGACCGGACCGCCGGGCGCCCTGAAAAACGGACAATGAAATAAAGGAGAGAGAGGGAAACTGCCGGGCGGTCGACGGGCGCCCGGATGCCAAACGGTTTATAGCGTCGAACGGTTCGGGTGAGAGGACGCCCAGCTGCTTGGGCGAGAGCGCGCCCGGCGGGCACGAACGGTTTGGTTTAGAGGCCAGGTGCTGCGGGGAACGAGGTCGCGGGGAGGGGAGGGGAGCGCGGGGACGGACGGGAAGGGGAGGGGCTGGGAGGCAGCGTGGCCTGCCCCCGATTGGCCGGGCCGACCGACTGGATGCGCCTGCCGCCGCCACTGATCCGGCGGTCGGACCGCCGCGCTGGCCGTGCACCGTGGTCTGTGGCGGCAGCGGCGGCTCGGGCTCGGTCGGCCCGACCGACGGTCACGCCTCAGACCGGCTGTAAACTATAAACAGCTCGGACAGCGTGTTGACGCGCGCTCCGCGACAGCCGGCCGGCCGGCCAGCAAACAGGCCACCGCGCTATCTGGCCGTTACTAGGCGGACCGGGCGGCGATAGCGCGACCTTCGGCCGGCCCGAGCCGCCGCCCGTGCCGCCGCGGCCCGCCGGCCGGCCTGGTGACTGGCCGACCGCCGGGCGCACGGTTACCCGCGCCAAATCGGCCGCCATCCTCTGAGCTCTGACTGTTTGTCTTTGTAGCACGCCCGAGGCCCGTGACTCGAAGGTCGCACCGCCACAGCGCCGCGTGGTTTTGGCGTTTTTTTCGACGTTTTTTCCCTCGCCCTCAATGATTCATGTAAGCCTGAGTGACAGAGAGTGCGAGCACAACTGAGTAACGGCAGCAGCTGTTGGGGCCGACCTGCCCCAACGCCGGCTGTGCGCCGATGGCAACCGGTGTGCGACGCTTTACGGCCGCGCTGCGTCCCCCTCCGGCTGAGTCTGTGACTTTACGAGCCATAAACCGAGTGAGCCGTATCTGAAGGGGAGGCGACCGCCGCAGGGCCGGCTCCCGGCCGGCTGTCTGTATGTCGGACTGTCTGTCGGAGTGTCTGGCTATCCGCGCGGTGTGGGACGCGCGTGGGCGACCCTCTGTTGCTGAGAAACCACGCGCCGGCGTTGCGTGTCAGACGGGGCCGCCGGCAGCGCTGGCCTGTTGCTGGCGTGCTCGGCGCCTCGCCAGCGTGCAGCTAATGATATGTGCGTTTTTGGCGGCGCTCGGTACGAAGGTTTTTGTGTTGCTCGCTGTGACGACCGTCGCTCTCTCGGCATACAAAACACCGCCTCCGTCCGGGTTGATTTGCCTCTCGTGCTGACACCGGCTGACGCTCCGGACGATCAGCGATCTCCTGTGACCCGGGTCGTGTCAGCCTCCTCAGCAAGGGTTTGTTATGATGGCCGGCTGTTTATGAATCCGGTGCAGACCGTGTGAAGCCTACACGGCTCGGGCCGCGAACTGACGTCAGGGGGCTGGGCGGCCCCCCGGGGGCCCGGCTGGGCGGGGCGGGGGTCACATGCTGCTGCGACGCTGTTCCCCACGCCCCGCCTCCGGCCCTACTGCGCCGTACTTGTCGGCGCGGTGGCGGCCGAAATCACACAACCCCTCCCCGTCCCTCCCTCCGAGCTGGCGCCTGGGTACACAGAGTCGGTCTGAACTGGATTCTCATCTGTACCCGGCGGCTTCCTCTCCGCGTCAATTGCAGGGTTGCACCACGCTTCCGCGACGACCGGCACTGCGCTGGTTCTGAGCTGTATGTTTCCACTGAGTTTTATTCTCCCTCATGTACGCCGGTTTTTATGCTTTACGTTCAGTAATCAGTCATCTCGCCTGTTTAATAGCACCAACCTCTAACCTCGACCATGCCTCTAACAACATTTCCGTCTCTGCTTCCTCAGAGTATGGGCATCAAGGACCCGTTCACCCAGACTATGCTGCTGATGGCCGTGCGCCGACTACAGGCGGGTGAGGGCGGGGCGGCCGGAGAGATTCGGCCCGGCCACCCGCCCGCCGGCCACTCGGCGTCCGAGCACCAGCTGCGACAGGACAGCTTCAGCACACTTCGAACCTGCGACGTGTGTGGACTCTACCTGATCGGAGCGGACCACCAGGGATACAGCTGCACCGGTGAGCGGGCCGGGATCGTGGGACTGTCAGTGTGAACTGGAATTTACAGAGAAGGGTTGGGTATCTGGGTGTAGCTTGGAGACAGGAATTGCTCATGCCATGCTGGTGTCGTGTGGTGCTCGCTGTTTTCGGGCGATTGGGCGTGCCCGTCGTGATGTCTGAGCCTGCCTTGTTCTCGTCTTTACGGCCTTTTCGTGTGTAGGCGGCCGCCCCTAGTTACTAGTTGCGTCACTCGCCTTCGCCTTACCTTCCCGCCCCGCCCCCGCCCCCGCCCCCGCCCTCACGAGGTCACCACGACCCGAGCGCCGTGTGTTGCTAGGCACCGCCGTGCAGCGCTCACGGATAATGGTGCCGCGGGCCGGTGCGCCGTATCGCGCGCCTATCTGGTGGCGCTATGTCGCTGTGAGACGGCGGCGGCCGAATCGCTACATGCAGGTGCACTGTGAAGTGTCCTTGTGGCGTTTGGTTGGACTGTGTAGAGGTGTTGTTTGTGGTTAGTGTGGGGTCTGTGTGGTCTGTTGGTGTCCTCTGTTGTGGTTTGTTGCAGTGGAGTTGAGAAGCTCAGGGTCTTTTGGTTTGGGGTCCGGTTTCGTGTCTCCTGTAGCCGGGTTGGGCTGTTCTGGTGATATGTTTTCACATTGGGTCGTTTTGTGTACGTGGTTGATGTGCTCTCACATTGGGTCGTTTTGTGTACCGGAGGTCTGAAGTGTCAGGTCGGGTCGGCCAGGGACGACCAACGACCGCTGTGTATCCGGGCTGTTTTGTTGTCGGAGGATCGACTTCAAACTGCTGTGACTGGGTGCGTGGCGCCGCCGCCGCCCCGTTTTGGCCACCGGAGCCGGGCCGTCCGGTCGGCACCGGCACCGTCCTAGCTCAACAGGCGCGGCATTGTGTGCCGGGCCGGCGCCGCTATGGGGTCTGACGTGCCTCTCCTCCTCCGCTCGACAGAGTGCGGCCTGGTGGTGCACCGGCGCTGCGGCTCCCAGCCGGCCGGCCTGCCCGCCTGCGAGCCCGGAACCGTCGGCCGGCCGGCGCCGTCCCTGTTCGGCGCCGAGCTCACCGCCACCTTCCAGTCCAGCCGACAGCTGGGGCCGCCCGTGCTGCTCGCCTGTCTCTCGGCGCTGGAGCGACTCTGCGAGCGCGACCGGCACATCAACTGCTATGAGATCTATGAGGAAACGGCACCGACCTGGGACGACCTGAAGCCGCTGCGGGACGCTCTGGAGCGCGGTGAGTGGCGGCCAGGGATGGGCTCGTCGTCGCTATCTGGCGTGTACGGCCGAGGGGCCCGCGTGTCCGAGTGCAAATCGGACCGGTTTTCCACATGGTCCGGGCCGATGTAACACGACGGGCCCCTGCTTTGTATGCTGATACATATGCATAGGCGGCGCGCTCGCGGTTCGGGTGCTGATGCTGGTGGTTATAGGCTATTTCGGGCTGGCGGTGTCTCGAATGTCAGATGGCTGGCGTGCAAACAGACGGGCTCTTGCAGATGCCAACACCCGACATAGAAACCTCATTTGTCGGCAAAAACGTATCCAAATACTTCTTTGCAGCCATATTTATATTATAAAATTTTCGGACTGTTATTGAATACCATTGGAAGTTTTCAGTGCCGCTCTATCCGACGACACGTTATAAATCGACGGCCTATTTCTGGTCTCAAAATATGACCTCAAATGAATCTTGGTCTCGGGCTACTTTGGAACTTTACTTTTATTTATTTATTTCATTTTGGGCAAGAGCCGGCCGGCCGGCAGTGGCGTCTTACTAGATGGGTGTCATTTTCTCTGGGGCGGCCCGACACGTGCCGTCATGGTCTCCCCTCCCCTCTCCCTTCTTGGGGTGACCGCCTATTGCGCTGTGGCCGCCCGGCGGTGAGACGGTGAAGCTTGAGTTTACGGGTCGCCGCCAGGGGTCGATCGGCTGGCAGGAGCTTAGAGTTGGGTTAGATGGTTATCTCTAGTGTCGAGGACGCTGAGATGGCGGTGGTGCCTCACTGAATGTGATATTGGAAAATGACGATATGTGTCGTTTGATATAGCTGTACCGCTGTTAGGTATTATCTCTGTATGCCGGTTGGGCGATCAGCTGGCTGCTCTGAGTTCTGACGTTATACCGTGCTGGTGGTATCGATCGGCTCAAGAGAGAGCGGAGAGAGAAAGATAGAGACGCATCAACTCGCCGACATTCGTGGAAAAGCGTGTTTACGCTGTGATAACTGAATCAACGCTATGTCATGAACCATATTGTTGCATACCTCATACGGTCCAACGCAATATTATTCTTATTAGTCTGGCTCTACATAGATGCGCGCGCTGTGTGTGTGACTGGAAATGTGAAGGATAACTTACTGACAACTCGTCTTCTCCTGTTTCAGATCCGGAGGGCGCCGATCTCGGCGAGTTTGAGCTCTCACACGTGAGCTGTCTGGTGAAAAAGTACCTGGCCCAGCTGCCCAACCCTGTGATGCCTACAGAAGCTTATGAGGACATGTTGACACTTGCCAAAGGTACGTGCAGCCGCCCGCCAACCGCCAGCCTCTGTCCTCTGTTGTTGATTAAGTCCTGCAACTGGGGCGTTGTTTAATTATTTACCAGCCGGGATGTGTCGTCAGGCAGTGTTTGCGCTCTGCACTCTGCGGCTTTATCAGCTAGTGTGTCGAGTTCGGATGGAGTTGCATCAGAAACGTCGTGGTTGATGTGCCAGGGGTTGTCGCAGCTGGCTTGAAATAACTTAGCTGCAGCTGTGCTGAATATGGTATTGCTCTTTGCTATTCAGTCACGCTGCTAGTTTATTTTCACAGTGTGTTTAACATCGCAAATTCATTCACAACCGAAGTGAGTCCTTGATCGATTGACATCGTATAAACTAGTTTGACTAACAAACCTCAGTTAGTTTTAATTGTCATTGTGTTTGAAAACAGACCTTATTTATTGGCAAGTGTGGCGTTTTATGGGCCGATTAATGACAGTGGTATCGATGGACCAATTTGGTCCGGCCGGTCCAATTATCTGCCTCGCTGGTTCGTTATCCCAGCGGGAATTTCGGGAAATCGAAATGTCAGCTATTTCGCTCGGCTGGCGCAGCTGTTCGGTAGTGCGAGTGTCACCTGGCCGGACCTGGGAGTGCACTGTCCTAGGGCCCGTCACGTCACATTCAATGTCACGGTGCGGGACGGGGGTCCTCGGCCGACCGACAGGCCCGTGCCGTGACACTAAGCTCTCGAACCGAGGGACGGGGGTGGACCCACAGTCATATCCACGTCCCGGGTGGCCGATATAACCCGCTGTTTCCAACCGTACCGCTCGCTGAGTGCCGTGTGTTGCAACCAGGCCAAATCCCGAGGGGAGAGAGTTAAGAGGTGGACAGAGCGAACTAGTCGGCCTCGCGCGTGATCAGCAGGATAAGCGCCGAGCATTGTGACGGACGGCCGGGCGGCGCACGCACGCGCTGCGCCAACGACACGTGGGGGCGAAAAACGCTGCAAACAGCGCGGCGGCGCGCGTGGGCTGGCGGCACCGGTGTCTGCCGGTGATGGCACCGCTCCAGCGCGACAGCACGAGGTCGGGTGCGGGGTTCACTGATCTTGGAAACCGCTGCAGAGGGCTTAGCCGCCGGCGTAGACGGAAAATATCGCCTCGCCGCCCGCGCGCGTATCTGACGATGGTCAGCGCTCGCTAACTAGATTGGTTTTGTGTTATTGCGGGCATTGATCGACGTGGATGCGATTAGCGGGAGAGTACCGTGAGCTCCTGATGTCGCGGTATCGTGCCCGCTGCCGGCGGCGCTCGGCCCACGCGGCGCACTGCTCTCTCTCTCTCTCTCTCCCTGCCGTCTGTCCGTGGGTGGTGTAGGGGCGGAATTGTGCGGGTCGCGAGGTGCGTCCTCTCCTCTCCCTGCCGAGAGTTGGCCGTGGGAGGGGACGTACCCGTCGACCCCACACCGGCGCCGTCCGGGCGGGGCCGTCTACCGACACGCCACGCCGGCGCACGACACACCACGGCCGGGACGGACCTTCCGGGGCCTGGTCTGGCACGCCGCGGCTCGGCGTGACATGTGTGGCGCACGCGGCGCATTTGGCTGCTGACCACCAGTGCGCAGTTCTGCACGCCTTTCAAAGCTTATGTAACGATGAATGTTTTCGAAAAATTGTCAGCGTGGACATTTGTGGGGGACAGGGGTGTTATATAAACCTACGACGCGGAAGGGACGGACGTAAAACTCGAAAGAGATGTTGTAGATGGGCGAGGACGAGCCCTCGCCAGACTGGCTCGAATAAATGCATACAAGAATAACAAACAGTGTCGCTGTTGTTGGTGTGCAGTGTATATTTTCTCCGCGCTGTGCCCTTGATATTTGTCTGACCGTGCCCTCTCCTTTGTTCCTCGCAGCCTACAAGGATAGCGCGGAGGGGTGCGCGCCGGATGTGGACGCGTTCGTCTCGCGCCTGCAGGACCACCACGCTGCCACTCTGCGGCTGGTGATGCGCCATGTGTGCCGTCTGTGTCGGCTACAGCAGGACCGGGGCTGCCGCTTCCCGCCCGCGCAGCTGCTCAAGACGCTCAGCTTTGTCCTCATCCGGCCTCCGTACGACCAGCTAACGTGAGTAGAAGAGAAGGAAAGAGGGCAGGGCTGGCGGAAGGGACTTGTCGCTGAAAGGAGGACGCCGGCTGACTAGTGACTAGCGGCCGAAAGCCATGCTTGTTGGTGTGCCAGTGCATGTAATGTGATAGCGGCTATTATTTTGATTCGATGTTTCCCATGGGACTTGCGGCGGCTGTTGGTCTGGCCAGCATCGATCTTGGGCGTATTATCACTCGGTGGGGTCGTGAACACACGGGTGTATCACTCTGTTTTCGTGTGCTATCTGCGACATATCAGTGGGCGTTCAACGCGGCCCTGTTCCCCTTGACAGTCGCACTGAGTTCCTGTCTCCAGGGAACAGTGGCCGCCCCGTGCTCCGTATGCGCGCCGGCTGTTTTTCTGTCTGTATGTATGGGTGTGTGTGTATATGTATATGTGTGCGTCTCTCTGTGAGCCGTGTGGCGTCATCTCGTGGTGGGAGTGCCGGCCTCGAGACTCGTCTGTCTAATGTCGGAGGCTGTTTGTCGGCCGGCGAGCTGTCGGTGCTCCCGCCGCGCCGGCCGGGCGGCCATCTTGTATCGGGCCGGTTCGGGTCAGGCCGCTGCGCGCGACCGGCCGGTGACGGCGGCTGGAGCTGTTGCAGCGGCGCCGATCGGATAAATAAGGGACGCGCCGGCGGACTGCGGAGCGGCACCAAGAAGTGGGTCAGGGACCGGCGGCTGGCTGGAGACCCGGTGGCGTGTCACTTCCGACAGGAGCCCTCGGGACACTGAGCTGCCAGCGACCGCCCCCGCCCCCGCCCAAAGGGGAGAACGGCGCAGTCAGCCCCACCGCCGCCGCCGCATGGCTGATTTCTCGGGCGTGCATGTCTCGCCGGGGCCGTTTTTGCTGGCTGTCTGGTTTTCCTGTCGGTCGCCGAGCAACTGTCTGTCTGGTCTCTGCCGAGACCGGCCGACCGTGCCATGGCCGGCTCGCGAGCACTGCGCCGCAGCCGTCGGCGTCCGTCGGGCCATGTAAACAGCGTGTACACGGCGCGACGGTGGCCTCCTGGTCGACCGGGGCCGGCACACATTCTCAGCAACTGACTCAGCGGCGCAACAACCGCCCGCCGACTCTGAGCGCGGACACGAGCCGCGTGTCTCGCCCCGGCCTCGGTGCGGCGGTGTGGCGTCCGTTTTCCGCCGTGTTCCGAACCGGCTGTGGATTTTTTTGCCGTCTCTACGAACACGCGAGTGTGTCGAATGCCACGTGTGGCGCCCGGTGCTGAGCTCGGCCCGGCCGCTAGCCGGTTCCTGGCGGCTCAGGGGCGCGACGGACGGAGAGACGTCACCCTCCGCCGTCGGCGTGGACGTCAGATAAATGACGACCGGCCGGCGGCGGTCGACGGATGCCGCCGCTCTCGACTCTGGCCCGGCGACGCGGCGCGGCTCGGACCGCCGAGTGGCGCCACCGCGCCGGCCGACCGGCGACCTCGCCGGCTGTCAGCTCGGCCCGGTTTGGGCCGCCCGATCGGACCGGTCGCCGGCGGACACGGCACGCCGGCCAGCCCCTCTATTTTCGTTAGTTATTTTAGCTGGCTGGTTTCGGTATTTTCGGACCGGCTGCGTTGGGTGGGCCCCTGGCTGGGTTAGTGGTTGAAGTTCAGGAGAGAAATCGTAGTCTGGGTGATAGGATGAGTGGAGTTGCATTGGGCATCGTAAATGCGACTTCCATTGCCACCCGAGTTTCTGATTCCCACAATCAGAGTAATCCGCTTTGAAGTGCGCCGACGACGTCTGTTGCTTCCCCACGGCACGTGCGCACCCCGGGTGGTGACGCACACGCACCATTATGTGCGTTTCCCGGCGCTGAGAGGCGCCGAGCTGACGTCAGCCGGCCGTTGTGACATATCCACTCGGCCGAGCGGGCGCCGGCCGGCCGACAGCCTGCTCGGGCAGCCGTCCGCCCGAAGGCCGACCGGCATTCAGCGCAGCGGCGCCGGCGCACGTCGATACTGCCGGTGGTGGCGCTGCGCTGAATGCCCCGGCCTTGGCGCAGCCGGCGACTGGATTCGTTGATAAAACTGCGGCCGGGGTGGAGGTGTTGGTGCGCGCTGCGCCGTTTCGTGCTTATTTCGTGGGAGCTGGGCACTCTTCTGCGATGGAAACGTGCGAACTGGACGGCAAGGACCATCTCTGAGTGAGTGCTTGGTGTTTTTGACTCGGGACGGTGATATGCTTGCCAGTGTGTGGATATTGGTGATGTGGCGCCGGCCGGCCGGCTCCCTGTGTATGCCTGTCTGCGCGCGCGTGTGTGTGTGTGTGTGCGGGGTGGGCACGGTGGGGCGCTGTCCTTGTGGTCCCGCGAGCTGTGGAGGCCCGACCTCGAAAACTTGTCGTCATGGGTATGTCTGTGTGCCTGTCTTTTGTGGGACACAGGTGTGTGTATGCGTGTGTGTCCGACCTTTGTGGCCTGACGCTATGTTTTTGTCTCTGTTTACAGGACGTGGGTGGAGCGATCGTCTCTTCACACACGCGTGTTGGAGCTGCTCGTGATGAACTACGAGTGGGGTGGGCCGAATGTGACCGCCTGGGACCCGCCGCCGCCGGCACTGCCTCCGCGACCCAGCCGGGATGCCGCGCCGCGCATCAGCCGGGAGTCGTCTCAGCCAACCTACCTGCGCCGCGAGCTCGACCCCAAGCCAGAGTGGTACTGGGGCAACATCAGTCGCGAGGAGGCCTCCGAGAAGCTCAACGGCCAGCCGGACGGCACGTTCCTGGTGCGGGACTCTCAGACGGCCAGCGGCGAGTACACGCTCTGTCTGCGCAAGGGCGGCAACAACCGGCTCATCCGCATCTGCTCCAAATACGGCAAATTCGGCTTCTCGGAGCCGTACCAGTTCGACTCGGTGGCGAGTCTGATCGACCACTACCGGAGAGAGAGCCTGAGGGAATACAACGCTCAGCTGGACGTGCGGCTCGAGAGGCCCCTCGCGGAGCCGCGACCGGTGAGTACTCGTCTCTGTCCAGAGGCGCGCGGGCGGGGTCATGTCAGGGTCATTCAGTCTGAGGTGGCGGGTTCAGCCGGCTGGCATTCCCGATGTCTGTGAGGTATTAGTCTAATTGGATTAAATTGGATGAATTGGGCTGCACGCTCATTGTTCAGTCTGAGCCAGCTGCGGATCTGTCTGGATCTGGTACTGCGCAGGAAGGGGGATCTGTCTGGTGGATCCCGGCCGTTAGCGGGTGGGTCCGGTGGGAGCGGCTCCGACTGGTCCCCGCTGTTGGCTGGCCGGGTGGGCGTGTCGCAGTCCCGACACTCTCCATGTCACCGGAACTGTGTTATGTTCCGCCGGCCGCCCGTCCATAGGGCGGGAGGGCAGCGAGCTGTGTCCAACGTGTAGTACATGACAGCCATAGGAAACTAAGTGTAACTAGTGTCCTATCGGCAATCTCAATGCATATCCAAACAATACAGCCCCCAACCGCGTGCTGAATCACCCCACTGTTGATTGTCAGCGGCTGTTTGCGGCCCGTCTGCAAACGTCGACCCCGGCTCGAACGCTCCACTAACCGGTACGCACCCTGTGTTTGCAGCACGCCTCCGAATCCGCGGCAGAGCTCATCAAGAGGCTGTGCAAGGCCCACGCGCGGCACGACAAGCTCGAGGGCGAGCTGGAGCGGCTGGAGAAGCTGAAGAACTCTGTCACGGAGCGCATCACCATCCAGAAGAAGGCGCTCGAGGCGTATATCGAGCTCGTGCATATGCTGGAGAAACAACGCGAACTGCACTTGGCTAACCGCAGCAAAGCGCAGCTCCATGAGAAAGAACAGTGAGTATTGACAGGGAGATGGGGACGGGTACTTTGCCGCGGGGTAGATTTAGGGCGGAAGGGAGCGTGGCCTGGGGTCGACGGGAACGTCGGCTGGCGCGGGCCTGGGGCGCCATGTCGGACCGGTCAGCGAACTGATCTGTTTGCCGAGAAAAGTTGTGTTTGGAAGGCCCTCAAGGCCAGCCCGGTCACAGTGGTCGACTGTTTATTGGGCCCCCAGGCGGCGAGACACGTGTCGGCCAGACCACTCCTGAAAATATGCGGCCGAAGGGCTGTGTGTTTACTGAACGCTCTTCGTGTCAGTCGATGGCTCGTAAATCGTACTGCAGAAAATAAATAACCGCCGCTCGGCGCACTGCTGCCACTAGTCTTGTGTGCGCGCATACTGGCAGGTAGTTTCATTATCTGGACAAGTGGTTTAATTTGTTTGACAGCGAAATTCATTTTGATGCTACCTCCGCGAACACATCCTTTGAAGATGTTGCCTCGGCAGCAGGTAGTTTCCAATAACCCCCCACAGTGCGTTCACTCTTAGAAACTGCCGTCTGTTTTTCGCTGTTGTGCATTGATCCGTTACTGACGTCATTGTTCTTCTTTCGACAGGCTCTCAAAGAACTTCCAGCTACTGGAGAGCAGGTTGGAGCAGGTGCGACACTGCAAGGAGCAGGTGGAGGAGGAGCTGGCCAAGCAGCATCCGTACGCGCGCACTACCGACCATGGCCTGATCAGCGTGCGGCAGGAGGAGCGTAGTCTGCAGCAGTTCAAGAGCGAGGTTTTGAGGGAGCTGCGCTGGCGCGGCATCACCCAGGACCGGTTGGAGAAGCTGCAGGTCGGCAAGGACACCGACGTCACTGACAGGGGCGCCGGCGGCACGCCCCTCTCCGAACAGGAGGAGTACTGGCTGCTCGAGGACTGGGACCGGCAGCGTGCCGACGCTGTGCTGAGCGACAAGCCGGACGGTACGTTCCTGATCCGGCGGCGCCGCGACCGGCCAGAGATGTACGTCCTGTCGATCCGCGCTCTGGGCCAGGTACAGCACTGTCTAATCGACCGAACGGAGCGCGGCTTTGGTTTCTCGAAGCCGTACGCCATTCACGCTAGCCTGCACGCCCTGGTCGACCACTACGCCGAGAATGAGCTGGGCGAGTTCAACGACAAGCTGCCGACGCGGCTCAAGTACCCGGCGCTGGCCAGACCACCGGCCGACTATCTCTGCCTGCCCGACTGAGCGGCGGCGGGAGAGCGCGCGAAGGACAGACGGGCAGCAGCGCATATCTGTGATGGTGTGGGCCGCGGCACCGGTCCTCTAGTCATGCCGAGCGCCCGGGCGAGTACAAACGACGGCCGGAGCCGGCTGCGCCGAGACGCACCTCGGCGAGTCTCCCCGAGAGGCCGGGCTCATGCCGAGGCACGCCGGAACGGGACGCGAGAGCGCAGTTCACATACGAGTTTTCGTTAAAGTATTGTTGGCGGCGTGCGAGGCGGGCTCTGATATCGCCGCGGACGGCCGGTGGGTCCGGCGGTCGGCTCACGCCCGACCCGAATCCTGTGTGTTGCTGGTCGCTGGACGGCGTAGTGCAGTCGGCAGGTTACAGGCTGTTCATGTACTTGTGATATCGGCGAACTGAAAGGCAGCGGGGCGACCCAGGCGACCGGCCGGTGCGGCCACTTCACGCCGACCGGCCGGCCCGCCCGCTCGCTGCTTTTAATTTATCATGAAAGGTTCGCTCGACTGTTTTGTAAGATCGTTGTGCGCATATGTGTGGCCGGCTGCGCGTGGCACACGCTCTTGTCTTAATTCCATTATTTATGTTGAGTGGGTGTGTCGAGGTGTAAGGACAGTCGTTCACACCAGGCTTTCGAATGCATCGTGTAATCATGTTGAAGAGACGTTGTTTTGGTCGCGCCCTTTGTACAGCAGTTAATTGAGAAAGAATACAGGGAAACTGCTCTATCTTAATGTTTTCGGAGGCTGTGGAATGTAGATGACAGGATCGGATGACGGGATTCAAGGAAGGGAGGCATAAAACATAACACACGATCGACTATACTTCGCAGAAGTGTCAGTAGCGTTTCACGGACACCGAAACCGCCGCTAATCACACAAGTTACTGCAGAACGCAACTGGTTCCCTCAATCCACCGATCTATTTATAGCCGTGTCATGCATTCCTGGCTGCGCAGTGCGGCGCCGGTCCGGGGCGGCGGCGGCGGCGCCACCCCACGTGTCGCGCTGGGCCTCTCGTGCACCCGTGTCGTGTTTTACGGGCACAGCGCGCCTCCCTGAAGAGGTGGTGGCAGCCGGCGATCATGCACCAGTCGAGTGCGCCAGACGGAGACATGTGATCTGGCCTTGTCTCATGGGAGCCGCGGCCAAACAGGCACTAAGAACCGGCCGGATTATTGCCAGAAACGAGCCCGGCCGGGCGGGGAACGCGGCCGGGTAGTCGAGCCGCAGAAACGGCCGCTCGGTCAGGAACTGTTCGAGCTGTCTGGTGGAGAGGATGGGGGAGAAACACATTACAGTTACCGAAGGAAGAGGGTTACGACTTCAACTGACACACTGAGACGTAAGCGTCTGAACGGAATGCTGATGAAGAAACGACTTAGGCTGGGTGGGAGGGAGGAGGCAATATGGCTAGCGGCTGCAGCCTGCAGTCATTGTCTAGAGGAAGAAATTCATCTTTGATCATTGCTCATTGATCACAGCTGCTGCTGCTGCCTGCAGAGTTAGGTCGTTTTTTTTTTGTACGCTGTTTTTCTCAGCCACCCGGCTCCTCTATGAGCCAGACCAGGCCCCTGGGCTGATGTAATCCAAATATTTTGTTCGGTAAATGCTGAGTCGGAGAGAGATCGGCGCTCTACAGCGGCCAGTGTCTTTGAAATGGCTTCTGCCATACGTTATCAAAATTAAACACAGATGTGCGGAACATGTGGCATATGCTTTGCTAGACCTTAACAAAAGGATCGGAGTTTTTTGTCTGACTGCAGGCGCGAATAGCATTGTCACCACCGGAATGAAACCTGTTTCGCGCAGTGGCGCGGGAACTTCTTCCAGACTGGGGGGGCTGAACCATCCGAGAGATCAACCTAGGGTACCCCCAAATCTAGTTTTCTCATCGGTTTTAGGCCACTTATTTTTCAGACCTTGGCCTTTTCAACGAAAAAAAAGAAGAAAATTTTTGCAAAAAAGTGAGGTATTCCGTCTCAGCTGAGTGAAGAAACTACCGTTTTGGCAACCTGGAATAAAGGTTTTAAGCTGCCAAATGAGTTGCCGAGTCGTAAAATAGGTAGATTTTTCACTTACATGCTTTCTTTCTTTGTGACTCACAACCCCTAATTTGGGGAGGACAAGCTGCCCCAACGGTTCCTGGCCTCATGAAAAGTTGTGAGGCACCGCCCCCACGGCCCCAGAGTTGTGAGGGCAAGCTTCCCCCACTGCCCTCTCCCCCGGTTCCCGCGCCTATGTAGGATCTATAAAATTATGTTGGTAGATTTCCGATTTCGATTCCTCCAGCTGGGGGGGGGGGGCTCAAATACATTACGAGCCCCCCAGCCGAAAAGTTGGAGGGGCTCAGCCCCCCCTAGCCCCCCCCCCCCCGGTTCCCGCGCCACTGGTTTCGGGTCAATTCCTACCGGGCCTTATCACATGCCATTAACTATTCCTTATACCTTTAAAGCGCCACTTACCTACATACCCTAGTAGACCGCTTATTTTTTCCGCTCCAAGTTTTTGTCTCACAGCTTCGACGACCACGAATAATACACTGATGAAGGCTAGGTCACAATAACGTCATCATACGGTATCCTTGAGGATCCAGTGACATACCTATCGCTGCGTTGACTTCCTAATGAGACCCAATGATGGAGCGCTTTAAACGTCTGTTTATTATCAGTTTTTGATGTTATGTGAGAATTTGTTCATAATTTTCTTTTTCATTTTTCCTCCAATCGCCTGGTAATCGGTTCCATACATGTACATCGGGAAGATTAGGCTACTTAGCTTCACTTGAAAATGCGCATCTATTTCAAACGATGGTTTCTTCAAGCGTAGCTAGATTTATCAATCGAAAGTCCTCAGAATTTTAACTAGCTGACTTGGCGGGCGGGGGGGGGGGGTAAATTCCTCCTCCCCGATCTGTCTCGGCTTCACTTAGCGACATCCAGTAAGGCGCTCAAAGGAGCGTAAAAATAGGAAGAAATAGCTTCAGTCATTGTTTAGGTCAGATTGAGGGTCTTATCACCAGATGTCGGCAAAGATCAAATGTCACCTATATCGATATTTTTAGCAACTCTTAACACGGAAACGAATAGAACTGCCTATAGCCATAGCACTGCCGAATAAACGAAAACACTAGCGCTCTACAAGTACAAGTTGCTTTGTTAAATAACTATCAACATGACTTAAGGTAAACGGTTCAGCTCCAGAAGTCTAAAACCACGGAATATGTCGTAGACTATATATTCCGTGCTAAAACCATCAAAATCGACATTTTTGTGAAATTGATTTTTCCCGATAGCTTTTTACATAACGCTTGTAACACGCATCGTGGCCTTGGCGTCGTGTTTCTTTTTCGTAAAGACACGTGCCAAGTGAACACTGAAAGGTCAATTTTAGAATTGGACCATAGTCAACCATATAGACCATAGTCGTGCTGGTGGTCTGAGTTTTCCGTGTCGTGCTGGGAGGGGGGGGGGGGCATTTTCACACCTTCCCCCATCTAACTCGGCTCCTGGGTCACGTAATGACACGCGGTAAGCGGCATTCGAAAGAGCGTCAAGAACAATTAAGAAAACGCCAGTCATTTTGTAAGTCAGGTCGAGGGTCAGGTCGCCAGAAGTCATCAAAGGTAAAATTTGCTTATTAATAATGTTCAAAAACCCGGCGCATAACTCGGGAATCAATATAGAGCTCTAGCGCCGCAAAAATGCGCATTCGATAGCTCTTTCAACGCTCTTTCGCTATCATGTTTTATATTTGACATCAGGTCAACGGTTTAGCCTTCAGAGGGCAAAAACTTTGAAAAAATAGCCGTTTTTATGAAACATATTTTCTGTAATAATTTTGACTCAAAAGATTCACGACATTAATTTTGCCATCATCGTGTTTCGCCTGTCGAGGCGCGTTGAATGAACTATACTTTGACCTTGAAAGGTCATTTTGAAAATTTGTCCTCATTTCAAGGTCATGACCTGACCTGACCGGAAAAGGTCATGTTGCATATCAGTCGATCCGTATCGTCCAGCTTAACACATCTGACGTGTTTTCAACCCTATAGCATGTCTCTATTGAAAAGTTATTGTCAAAAAAACTGCTGAGGACCTTTTATGACCTGAAATGACCTCAGGGGCACAAAGACGGGGGTCAGGGGTCCAATTTTCCGATTCAGGCCGTCATGTTTACTCATAACTGATGTGTGAGTGTGTTTAGAAACGTTCATCCAAAAGAGGCGCATTTCAGTTTTATCCCAGGAATATGAAAAGGTGTGTCAAATACGGTGGAGCGCAGCTGCACCGTTGTGAGATATTTGCGAAAGACAGAGGGGGCTTAAAAACACCTCCACCAGCACGGCGCGGGTAAATGACCTAAGATGACACAGGGATAGGTAGGGGAGAACGGGGCGATTTGGCCGCCCTTTTGTAAAAACAATATTTTGAGAAAACCAGTGCGCGTTTGGTCGATTTCTCCATGGAGGGGTGTGGGGCGTTCAATTGTTGTTCTGGCCTATTACTTGCATCATGCCGGGACATCTCGTTTCGGTAGTAATTAACCGTTCTTTCAAAGACTACACGGCGGCCAAATGACCCCGGTACCGGGGTCATTTGGCCGGGGGAGTGGGGTCATTTGGCCGGGCATGTGATTCAGAGATATACCCATTACAGAGCTGAGACAACCTGAAATATTGACGCCCAAGATTGTGCTTAACTCATGGATTCTGGATTGACTCGACGCATGACTGATGTGACGATCCAGATGCCCCAATACTGACACAAATGATGGGCATCGTGACTCATTTTTAATTCGCCTGAAATCCTTAATTTTTCAAAGGACTAGGCTTACACCCGATTCATTTCAATCAGTGCAAGTGAGGAGCCGCATTTGATTTACGAGCTTACGACTCATGAGTTGAGCACTGCCCAGTGATAATAACAGCCAACTGTAATGGCTGCCAGATCGTAGATTGCTTTAGACGACAATCACACTGAGTCCTTTGTGCACCGTGCACGAGTTGTTTGTTTATTTCAAACTCTGTCGTAAACATGAAATAAAAACGATTCCAGCAGGCCCCGTCTTCGACCCAGCACTTAAGCACATCCACTGTAAAATACGGTCCCGACGGCATGGACACATGTCCAGTCATCACTGCGCTTCACTGTTTTTCATCTTTGCGCCCCTGTTTCTTCGACGGTCCAGCTCCCGACGTTCGATGGTTCGACGGTCCAGCTTGTGGACCTCGGTTTTTGCTCCTCGCCATACGTGCCTGTTGCTCGTCCTTCAAAGCCGTCCGCTCCGGGCTGTTAGTCATGATTTTAGAACGCCCTTTCTTCCGACCGGCTTTTCGAACGTTGATGCGCAGCTGCGAAAGTGGTCGGATGGACTCAGGGCTTCCGACAAGCAGCTAAGACACGGCGACAGCAGGCGGCTGGAGCACGGCCGCGGCAGGCAGCTGGAGCACGGTCGGCCCCGGGGCTGGCGGCTGGAGCACGGCCGAGGCTGGCAGCTGGAGCACGGCCGCGGCAGGCAGCTGGAGCACGGCCGGGGCCGCGGTGTGCTGATCTGCCGTCGCTGGGGCGACGACCGGTGCGAAGACCGCCGTCGGCGCAGTCTTCGTCGTCGAAGATATCCCGGTTGAGCGGCGATATCCCGGCCGCTTCGAATCCCTTAAGGATGTTCTTCCGCGTGAAGGTGGCGTCTTAGGCACGACGAAAAATCGGCGCCACCTGGTAGAGGTCG